CCAAGAAATGGAAACTAGGTTTTTTGTTACTTTGCTTTTATGTTTTGTTTGTTTGTTTTCTCCTTTATTGCTGTTTTTGATTTCCATATCTTTTATCTTTTATGTAAGTTTATCTGTTTTGAGGAGGATACCAGGGAACACAGAAATAGTGAGATAAAGGGTGGACAAATGCAGCAGTGGTACTCACTAGATACTTTGTTGAAAATGAACTATGCAATATGTGGGTGGGGGAGGAAGGGAAAAAGCAATGCACACATTTATTTTAAGCACATTACCAAGTTTGTTGTAATTTGTTACAGCAACAATAAGAATCTAATACACTAGGACAAGTAGGGCCTCATGTCTTGCTCCATATTCCTCACTTCTAGACCAGGTACCAGGTCCTCTAGAAAAGACTTTAGTGATTCTGTGTTAAGAAATTCTTATCAAGGACTATCCTATGGCCTATAGTGCAGTTCCGGTAGGTCATGCCCAGCTCTAAGCCTTGTGTATACAGAGTGAAGACTTGTGAGCTGAATCGGTACTGCAGTACTACTGCAGTAGTTCTAGCAGAGTGAAGATAGTGATGGTACCTAGGGGAAAAAGTGGCTGGGGTCTGGGTATATTTTTGAAGATAAAGACAATGGGCTTTCCTTACACCATATGAGAGAAAAAGGGTAAGTGTGATTCAAAGCGTTCTGGCTTACACAACTGGAAAGATCACATTGACATTGTTAAATAGTAAATAAGGAATAAATAATAGTGTTAGAGGTGAAAATCTGTGACTCAATTTAAAATTTGTTAAATGTAGGATGCTTACTAGACAACAGAATAGGTAGCGTAGTTAGATATCTGCATGAAGTTTATCTTTCCCAAAGACTATGTTTCCAGCAACTCACATAGGTTTTCACAATAGGAGATTCTTAATTCATATATGTTTAAATGAATATGTGACATTTCTCTATAGAAATATTTCAAGATCACATCACAGATTAGTCAATATTAAGCCTATCAGCATTACACACATTGTCTAATATTGTAACTAAGAGTTATGAACAAGCTGATTGGTAGTTCTTGTTTTAGTTGACTGGCCCAGTAAATTTTTCTTTATAATTACAAAGTGTATCATATTGACTTTTGTTCACCTCTGAAATAGTTTTCCCCATTGTATTCAGAAAGTTGATGGCCTGAGCTTCTGTATGCCTGGTTGCATCCTACATACAAATAGGACTTCAAACAACCTCTAATGGTGCTGAAGAGTTAGTTTTCTAGAAAGGTTAGTTGTCTAGAAAGGTTTTTTTGCGGGGGGGGTATCTGGTGGGTCGTGAGGTTTGAACTCAGGGTGTGGGCGCTATCTCTCAGCTCTTCAGCTCAAGGCGAACACTCTACCACTTGAGCCACAGCGCCACTTCCAGTTTTCAGGGTGGTTTATTACAGATAAGAGTATCTTGGACTTTCCTACTCCGGCTGGCTTTGAACCACGATCCTCAGATCTCAGCCTCCTGAGTAGCTAGGATTATAGGTGTGAGCCACCAACGTCCGGCTAGAAACTTTTCACTTGATGATATTCCCAGCTCTGAATTTATAGACACTGTAAAACTCTACATCTGTAAAGTGTACTGGATTTTACAATGTTGAAAAGGTCACATTTCTGCTGGGAACTGCTGGGGACGAGGTTGCTCAAGCATTTTCTCTTGTACCTTCTACAGTCAGGTGCATTTTCCCTCTCCCTTTTCTGGAACATCTCTTGTTCTTGCCAGTGACATTGACATTATGAAATCTCTATTTTTAAGTCCTCATTTTACTTATTTTCCCCACAATATGGGACCAGATAACCACTTCTTCTCCAAACATTTGTTTCTTCTTTCCTTTGGGTCACTGTGCTCTTTTGGTTTCCTCCCTTTTTTCTTTTTTTTTCCCCTTTTCTCCAACCATTTTTCTTTCTCCTTGTCTTTTTGAGTTCTGAACAGTAAAATTAATCCTTGACCTTCTTCTGTGTCCGCAGGTACTCCTAAGATGACCCCCACCTACATTGTTTTGAATGCCATCTCTATGTTAGTAAATCCCACGTTTATCTGTTAGTTTAGGTTCCTTTCTCCTGAACTCCCGATACATAAAGCTAATCTCTCTGTGCCTCTGTTTTCTCTTCTATAACATCAGTCATAGCATCCATGCCAAATGTTCTCTGTTTGGGTTAGTAGATCTGCTTTTTACCATTTTACATCTGTTTGGTGCTCAGGGAAAGTGATGTGCATGCTCTTCATCTAGAGTTAGTTGCCTTGCTGTTCGCACAGTGAGACCAAAGGAGAATATTCTTAGGAGAGGGTCACACAAGCTCAATAGCAATGTGCATATGATCATATAAAATACTATTTGTCGAAATGCACTCTAAGAAATGGAAACAAGGTTTTTTCTTTGTTTCGGTTTTTGTTTTTTGTACCTTTTGTCTAGTTTATAAGTTTATCTGTTTGGAGGAGGGTAAAAGAGGGCATGGAAAGGATGGGACAGGGAGTGAACAAATACAACAGTGGTACTCACTAGTCACTATGTTGAAAATGTACTATACAACTTGTGAGTGGGGATGAGAGGGAAAAACTGGGAGACAGACAGGGAAGGGGTGACACTGTCAAAAAGGAAATGTGCTGATTGATTATCTGGCTTGTGTAACTGTAACCCTGCCGTATATCACCTCTTCAATAATACACACACACACACACACACACACACACACACACAAATATTTAAGAGTTGTCTTGCTCAATGATGAACAGGGTGGCATGGATCAAGATCCATTGTACTAATAAACTTACTTATTTTATGGTAACTCCTTTGTACAACCACTTAAGTATAATAAAATATAATTTACAAAGAGTTTACTTGCGCTCTTGCTTCTGGTTGAATTTAATTAATGAAAGTCACCATCAGGAGGTAGGCTAGAAGTAGGAAGTGCTAGTCCAGTAGTTTATTCTTCCAGCTCTCTCCGTATCAGGCCACTTTTGGCAATGCTGCTTTTCTCTCCCAAGATCCCCAACTCCTGCTGGACAGCCAGTACTTGCAGCCTTCTCCCCTGGTTCCAGGACCTTCTGCTTCTGGTGTAACCGTAGACCAGGGGAAGGGGTTTTACTATCTCCTTTCAGATTCCATTAATAAAGCTCACACTTTTATAATTATTAAACTCTCCTCATTCACGGATTGTTGTGGTGATTAAATGAGTTTGAATTTGTTAAGTGCTTAAAGCAATGGCAAACTACATAGCAGTGTTTATGAAGTAAATACACAAGTGAAGTGCCCATGTGAGCTTTCCATTTATGAGAGGAAAACTAACTACAGATTCTGTGTGTGTGTGTGTGTGTGTGTGTGTGTGTGTGTGTGTGTACAGAAATTTCTTATGGAAAAGTGGCTTGTCTAATTCCAGAGGCCAGAAAATCCAGGATCTGTGAGATAGGCCAGCAGGCTGGAGACCTAACGGAGTCAATGTCGTGTTTTTAGTTCCACAGCATCAGCTGTAGAACCAAAATGAGCTAGAGCTGCAGATGCAATGTTTCTGTTCTATTAAAGCTGGAAATAAGTGCATGGGACACATCTACATTATGAGGGTCAATCTACTTAAATTCTGCTCATTTAAATGTTAATCTCATCCAAATTACCTTCAGGAAGCATTTAGATTATTTGACCAAGTATCTGAATACCCTAGGCCAGGATCAAGTTTGACCAGAAAGTTAATCATCACACTTCCTAATATAAACTGCCCCTAGCCCCAGTTCATGACAAGTCACTGCAGTCACCATTTTTGCTCAAGAGAAAGTCCTTGGACTTGTGAGGCATGCTCCCCTCTGAAGACTTTGGACTTGCTGCTCCCTCTGCCTGGAAAGTTCTCCCAGGCCCTAATATGTCCTATACCCTCTTTGCTGAGCTTACTTCCTAAATTTGAGCTCTGCAGAGAGACTTCTCCAGTACACCTACCAATGGGGCACCTCTGTTCTTTGCCACCTCCCATCCTCCCTAGCTTTCCTTCTTGCTATTTTTCTAACACAATATTACATATATACACATTTTGTATATGTATATGTGTATATAGATATGTGTACATATATATTTATGTGAGTAATATATGTATATATATATATATATATATATTTGCTTGTGGGCCTGCCACTCTACTAGAATGTAAAAACCATGAGGACAGAGACTTTCCTGTTTACTTTATTTCCATATGTCCAGCTCTAGGGTTGTGTCTAACATACAGTTAACACTTAGTTAATGTGAAATCTACACATGGAGCTGCTTATATATATTTTCTGAAGGCCCAAGAATATGTACTACAAGCATATTTCTTCATAGGGGCTCAGATCATGTCCTTCCTGTAAGGTGTGTGGGAAGATCAAGGCTGGCTCTTGTTGGTAGAATAGAAGTGCTTTGCTCTTGAAGATCATAATGCCTATATGTAGCAGACAAATATCTCAAGAAGGGATGCTGGATACATAGCATTAACCTCATGGAAGTATGAGGCATATATCTTGAGGTCTTGTCTTAGAGGAATTTGTTCATTTTATACATCTGCTCATTTTACTCTAAGGACTGATGAGTAACAATATATTATGTCCATGTAAGTAGTCAACATTTAAGCATTTTACCATACATAAAAGACTACAACCAAAAGTTGTGGGCTTCTGGGTTCATGGTGCACATTTGATAATATGAAGAAATAGTTTCATCCTCTGAAACTTGCCTTCCAAACCCAGTAACCAAGGGAGTGGATTAACTGTGTCAATAATGTCTACCCTTTAGTAAAGTTCTGTGAATACCTTTATCAGAATAGATCATTTCTTTCCTATCTCTGACCCATGATCCAGATTTAGTATTTCAGGAAAAATTTATGAATAATATGTAAATGTATATTTTTAAGAGATTTCCCAATCGGAAGATGATATGTAATCGACTTTCGAAGTAAAATGCACTCACAACTCAGCTCTTACGTAGTAATTCTATCATCAATCACATACCAAAAACTTTATTTTTTATAATGTATTTATTTGTGTACAAAATATGTTTCAACTTGATGCATTACAGCAAAATATTCTATCACAAACAACAAAAAATACACCTTTTACTCCTTTACCCTGCCCTTGAAAATGGCAACACTGTTTTGGCAGTTCAGCAGCTAAAAATAAAGTGCTATTATTAAGCAGTATTGGAATGTCTTCACAAATGTGATGTATGATTTGAATATACAACCACATCTTTTTTTTTGTTAGTTTTTCACAGAACAGGAAGCTCCACATCCTGAACATCCCCAGAAGATACAAATATTTGTATATATATGTACACATGTATACACTGTATATGTAAAATGCCAACAGGCCTCTTGGTCCTTGTGCGTTTGTTGTGTTTATATTTAGTCCTTCTTCTTCAACCCCCTCTCCCCCCACCCCACCATGCTTCAGATTCACACCACTGGGACCTGAGTTCATCAGCAGGCACCGAGAAGCTCACCAAAGGCTGGCTTGTTGGAGATGTGGTGTTGGTGAGAGGACACAGAAGGAGCCCTTCAGACCTCACTGGGGGACCTGGAGCGGAAGGGCACTTTGGACTGGAAACAGCCACAGAACAGGAGCCACAAGGCGCGCTGGATCTCCTGATTGCGGAAGGCATAGATGATGGGGTTGATCATGGAGTTGTAGGTAGCAGGCAGCAGAGTGGCATAGGTGTAGATGGCTGGGTCCTCCTGGCTACCTACCACGCAGTAGATGGCAAAGGGCAGCCAGCTGACCCCGAAAGTGCCCAGCACCACCGCCAGAGTTCCCACGCCTTTTCTAGTGGCGGCGAGGTGGGGCGGCGCCAGGCAGTGCTGCTGCAGCGCGATCTGGTGCGCGTGGCGCCACACCACCTGGCAGATGCGGACGTACAGGTGCAGCATGACGCCGAAGACCACGAAGAAGGCCGCGGAGAGCAGCGCCACGTGGCTGCGCGTGAGCGGGCGCACCACGCTGCAGGAGGCGGGCGCGCCCAGGCAGTTCCAGCCGAGCACCGGCAGCAACCCCAGGCCCAGGGACACCGTCCAGGTGGCGGCCAGCAGGAGGTGCACGCCCAACAGGGTCCGGCGCGAGTAATAGGTGAGCGCGTTGTAGAGGGACAGGTAACGGTCCACCGTGATGGCTAGCAGGCTGCTGACCGAGGCGGCGAAGGAGGCCACGAGGAAGCCCACCGTGAGCAGACTCACAGTCTCGGAGGGCACCACGTACTGGAACACGAAGTGAAGGATGAGGCTGCAGCCCGCCAGGAGGTCGGCGGTGGCCAGACTCCCCACGAGCACAAACATCGGCGTGCGCAGCGCCGGGGTGGACGCGATGAGCGCCACCACCAGAGCGTTCTCACCGGCGATCACCGTCCCGGACACGCACAGCAGCACGTCCCACGGATTCACCGCGGACAGCAGCAGTCCTGGCGGCCCGGCGGGCAGCTGGGACGACAGCTCCAGAGACCCATT